TGTGTGTGTGTATACTATATAGCTCAGTGGTATTGCAGCTACAATTCAAACACGAACACTTCAAACAACTGTATCGAACTTCTAGTTTGTACCATTATTTGACAGTCTTGAAAAAGCAAATATGCTTAGTTGATAATAGATACGTACCGTTAATATAACTTTGTTCTTGTAGATTTGTTATACTGGTAAGATACCCTCCCTCGTTGTTACACACGAATTCAGCGTCATTCCAACTCTTGAAATCGTCAGTACGGAACAAATAGCAGCTACCACTCAACGCGTCGTACTCCCAGCCAAGTCCGCAACGAGAATTAAAGATAGCTGTCGTAGACAAACATGTTGTTGGGTTTTTATTTTCATAAACGAGAACTATGTTTAAAAGGTGTGACTAGTAGAAATCGACAAATGCAATGTGGTTTATTTAGTGTAATAATCCTTAACCTAACAGCTCTTGTCAAAATATATTAATTTTTTCCCCAAGTTTATATTTAGGTCTATATATTTTTTTCAAGTTAACTTTAAGCAGATATTGTATGTTATTGTAACTTGAGAATAGTGATGTTTCACAAATTTTAAGAACAATTATTGGTAACTTCATTTATGTCTGTGTTTGATAAACGGGTTTTTGTAACTTAATTTGTTTAAATATTGCATTGTACTGCACAACATTTTTTTTAAATCTTGAAAGCACATCCTTTGTAAATAAGCTTGAAATTAAATAAAATATTGAAATATAAAATGAATATCAAAAAAAAAAAATGAAATTTAACATCACAACTCACGAGTAGGTTGAGGATCAGGGGGAACGCTGCCTCCAGAAGCTGTAAAATGTATAAGTATAAACATGTAAGTAAAAGTATTTAAATAATTAATTTTTAATACTATACTATTATAATATATGTGTCTGTAAATTCCGACGTACTTGTTTCAATGAGATCTGAATAAAATGTATGCCTTACTTAAATCGCAGAAACGGAATTCTCCATTACTATCCCAGCCGGTTGAGTAGCCAACATACGCAATTGTAAGTGGATTCGGGTCGGTCCATTCCATGAATGCTGACTGGCCTGCCTTGCCAACGCTGATCTTCCCGGCGTCATCCCAAGTAATCCAGAATCCGCGGAACTCGTTTTCGTTTAAAATGCTTGGAGTAGATACATATACCTCGTTTGAGCATTGTTTACAACGTCGGATGGCCGAATTCTGGTTATTCCATCCTCCAATAACAACTTCATACATTTCAGTCATGTCATTGGCGGCAGACGACAGACCAATGTGTACATCGTTTGATGCCTTTGCTTCGAAATCAACGCGTGATTCATAAAGAGGGGAGTCGTGGTAGCGGTAGTAGTACTGATCATCTGTGCTCCCAGATGTTAAAGTTTCACAAGCTGAAAAATATGAATATAATGCTATAAGTTGCTCAGTCAGAGAGTGCCATTATTATTGTATTGCGTTGATAACTTATGCAGTGGCGTACCGCATTTGCTCTCGTGCGGCAGTCCGCAGGGCCCCGACCCCAACCATGTTGGGACTAAGATAGTATATGCCCTCAATTTGTGAAATAGATCCCCTCCATTTCAATTTTTTGATCCACCACTGATATCATATCATTTATTTCATCGTTAAAACACAATGACAAAAAAATCATTAAAAAACGAGCACATCTAAAACACACGATTGGCAACTAAGACCCCAAAAAAGGCTCTGGCCTCAGAAAGCCACAGGGCCACCGCCTTCAGCGTTATGCCACTGAACTTATGTTTATCTAGGTCAGAAAAATAGTAAAATTTAGTTGTCTCAAGTCGTATTCGGAAGCCCCAGTGGCCAAGTTGGTTAAGTAAGGTTGAGGAGGTATGGGTTTTAATTTCGGTTTGTGGACTGTTTTAGCTTCGCAAGTTGCTCTTTAACATTTACAATTCGCCAGTTTACTTAAATAATATTTAGTTACTTTTTATTTCGTCAACATATTTGGATGTGGGGCTAGACTTTACTGACAAGAAACCGCACCCGCTCTGTCATACTATCTTTGGTGCTATCACTGACTTTTTTTAACTAGAGGTCAGTCATTCTGTTAGTGCGTCTTTTGGACTAGTCTTAAGCACAGCACTACATAGTAGGCCTAGTATAGTTAGTACATGCAATTTTTTAAAAACTGTCATGCCTCATTTATTTGGTGCAGTTTATGTTTACAGAAAACATTAAACAAATAGGCCTATTGTAATAATTCATTTTACCTATCATTTAATTTGAACCTCCTTTACTGGCGCATTGCAAGCGCCCACCTTCCGTTAAAAACACTATTAATCCAATGTCAGGAGCTTACGAGTGGTCTAATTTTCTACTGTTAGCAACTCAAACTCAAAAGTGTAATACAACGCTTTAAAGATGATCTCATTTTTATTTCAAACCCATTTTTTTTATTTGTCTCACTTACTTTTTGGCATTTGGCATATATAGCCAGCAGTCCCAGTACATGCTAAGTCGTTCCACTCTCCCATAGAATTCGCCCAGGGTGCAAGATGAACGCAGTCCTCCCCAGAACCATAATCATTTGGTTCTCCAGGTGCCCAGTTGGTAAAATCGTACTACAAATGAAAATGAATGTTTAAAATAGAAAAATATTAACTGTGAACATCCGCATTGTTTTACAGCGACGAACAACAAAGTGGTGTCTTATTCCCACACGGAACGTAACAAAATTATGTAAATTACTTCTAAGTTAAACAAATTGCCTACACACGAAAGTTCTTTTTGCCAGATTTCTTTCAGTCGACTTTGGAACAGGCGACCAAAATATGTCTCCAAAAACTATGATCCTTAACAAGAAGAACATTTTTTTTTCTGGCTGTAGCATACCTTCAAGATCACCTAATAGACTCTGTATATATGAGAGTTATGATTTCCACTCTCTACCATGCCTTCGCTTGTGGAGGATGTTACTTACACGACATAAACATTGTATCCTCTTCATGGATGCTTGAAGAGATTTACAGAATTAGTAAATGTGATAGGTCTGCTATTTTCTATACTTACTGGCGTGCCATCAAGCCACTCAAATTTCCCTTCGTTACTGGTATCATGAAGACCAACCCACAAATATTTCTGTGCAATTTCCGTTTTCACTACAACCAAACAGTAAAAACATATATATTGTAAGAAATTTACATAAGTGTAACAGAACATTTAAGCAGGAGATGATTTTTTTTTATTCCGAGAAACTTCAGATGTATTCGGTAATTTAGCACCCAGTAGTATAAGCTTTAATATTGGAAAAAATATGAGTCAAAAGGTGTAATTAATCCGTAACATTTTGTTTTTAATCTTTTTGAATACAATTTCATACTCGATTTTTGAACAACATGCTTTGGTGGTCACATGTTAATGAATCCAATTAAAGATTTACTGTACACTTATATTTTGGTATCTATCTATCGTTCTGTTATTTTAAATATTTTCCTTTTTCTTATGTCTAGCAACAAGCTTAATAATTAGAATCATGAAGAGATTTTTATTAAAGGACAAAATTTGTTTTTGTAAAAGAGAATTTTAAGACTACAAAATACATTTTCTTCTAAAAAAATATATTACGATTTAAAGATACAGTACATTTCAAGATTCGAATAAGCTTGTATTTAACTTCTGTAGTAAACAATTTAAGAGATTATTTACATGACATAAATGACTGTGTATCCTCGTCGTGGATGCTTGCAAGTTCAGCCTGGATGTTCTGACATGCTGCAGACGCGGCATCGAATGTTAGATCCGCATCAGTTGTAATCTTGTAACAGCTGTTGCCATTTAGTGACCAGCCCGGTGGACATGAGCCAACCCCTGTATTCAATAATAATTTAACAAGTATTATTTGGATACCGATGCTATTAATCTATCTCATAAAATTGCAATGTTTATATAACGTATGCAATAATATCTTACAGTATACAGTATTTTGTTGGAAACTAATGTATTAAAATACATCAAATATTTCATGATTTTAAAAATCTTTTTCCACACTATCAGATTTTATGAGACAAATTTGTGTGATGTGCCGGTATATAGGCACAATTATGTTATATTACACCTAAATATGGACATATCACATTTATTTGTCACATATAATTGGATAGTGTGAACGGTTCTTAAGACACAGTCAATATGCAAAATTCCAATTTAACGTACCTTTAATTTATCGCTTAAATTATGTAAATAAGGTTTATTGTACTTACCAACGACGGGGGAAATTGCCTTGATATTTGTTCCTATGATTGTTAAGAAAAAAAAATAGGTATTCAACCATTTAAATAAGTCGATTGATTGATTGATTGACTGATTGATTGATTGATTGGTCGATTGATTGAATATTCGTCCATTCCTAACATAATTAATGTCGAAATATTGAATCCCGACACAATGGCGTACATTTCGATACTTGGAGTATGTATTATACTATCTTATTCATCCATTCCTTATTCTAATAAACTGAAATTTTTTGTGTTCAAATAGTAGACATATTAAAGTTTAACGTGACGTATTCATATCAGTAAGTTTACATTTATTTAGTCGGAATGGTAGAAAAAATATTGAACAATAATAACTACAGTGCATTCGTACCAACTTTGGCTTTACAGACAAATGCCAGCAGAAGGAAACAGTTATCCGAGTCCCATTTACCAGCAGCGTCATCTGGAAGTAGAAATAGAGCACATTATGATATTGTCTAACATCATTTAAAAGAACCTACGCTCTTCTGACCTGATAAATAGTATAGGCCTACACGGTATAGTCAGGGACCAGGGTGAATATGAGGTCCAGATGTACACACGAGAATTCAGGTACATTTAGGAACACATGGAAGCCATGCTTGCTACCTGAATCAATAACTTTGATTTGATATCTAGGTTTAGGATATCATTATAACAGTTTCACTAATTGTACTCACCTACAAATATTTTTCCACAATCGGGTTGGTTCGGCACGTTCTTTGGCATATTCGGATTCCAGTTACTATAATCGGCTGTTGTTGTACCTTCAGACCACTGGAAAATACCGTCACTTGCATAGTCTGGTGAAAAATTAATAAAACAAGAAATATACCTGCAGATACATTAATTGTTTGAGAATTATAAAGTGATGATTTTGTAGGAGTCTTCAGCATCAATAATACACTCTTATCCTTGATGTGAACTTAACATTCCATTAGAAAAAGCAGCAGGTTTGTGGTTAAGATGCTTTCTCCCAATTACATTGTCTTGGGTTCAAAATCGGCATCTTTATCGCCGTTAAATACAACTTCACACTCATAGCCATATACAATATTAGCTTATATTTTACAATAATTTATTCCAATTGGCGAGTCAAGCTTTAAATAATTACATTTTTTGTAGTTGGATTTATATCTCAAAGCGCTCGAGGTATCAACTAGCTCATACAGTAACTGTCCCCAAGGGTCATTTTGTGTCTGAACTACCATGGTAAACCGGGGTCACTTCTTGTCTGAGCTACCCGCTAAACGTCTACACCTTCTACTCTAGTCTGTCCACAGCAAGGGATGCATGGACAAGTACAACGTACATCATACTCGTCTTCAAAGATGTACTGGGTTAAAGTGCAAATGATCATAATCGAGTACACTGGGCCTACGGTTTATAGTTATTATCGGAGAAAACTTGTTACACCACCAGGGCTATAATAGGCGAGCGTACAGTTTGAAACAGCGCCGACATTACGGCTCGTTGCGGAGCTCCTGCCTTAACTGCTCGGCAATTCGACTCGCTAATACTTGATGATATTACATTATAGTTGTATTGAGCGGCTTTGACTTTGAATGTGACTAGGCACTATGAATACTGAGATCAACAATTTATAAGTCTCGAAAATTCGTACCTGAGATACCAATCCAGTAGTCAGTTATTCCAACTGTTGATAAGTCCTCAAACTGCTTTTGAATAAAGTCATTTTCGGTGTTACTATAGAATAATAAATAAACAAGACATTCGTTACTCCACGTACCAGTTTCCGAGATCAATAGCAGTTCCCCAGAATTGGGAAACATTTTCTGAATTTGAATAACGTTGAATTGGTTATCTTCCACAACTTATTTTCGTGCATTCGCGAACTTTAGTGTAGGCCTACTAACGCCAGAGAGATCAAAAATTGGCAGCGAGTAAGGTAAACGTAAATTGGGATTCTGATTTAAGGTACTTACTTTAGGTGGTGCCATTTTGTCGTTGGATAATAGATTCCACTTGTCTAGTTCCTTAAGATTGGGCGTTTTTTCCCCGTTTTTTTTTTTGTCTTTCGTGGGGGGTCACCCACATTTATTTCTCCTGTTTTCATTTTTTTTCAGCTTACAATAGTTTTACACTCAAGTTTATACAATAATATAAAACTTGGAAATTATAATACAGTAGTAAAATCGCAATCAATAGGCTTACCTCATAAGATAAATACAATTTATATTATAAAATAAGCATTCAGCTTGTTTTATATTATATATAGCTATTACTCACACACATACACACATATACATATACTTTATTTAGTGTATACGCATATACCTACACACATACATATACCTGAATACACATTCATACACATATATATACACACATGTACACACTCTTATATACATAATATATATACATATACATACACACACATATATACCCACACACACACACACACACACACACACACATAGCTTGGATAGAGAGGCATGGGTGTTTGTAGACATCCTTAGTTGTTCTGATTCTTTTAAAATTTTAGATTTTGTTTTGTTGGAGGTTTCTTTCTGAGTATACTTGTCTGTATTCATTTTTATTATAATTTCTTGTTTGTAAATACAATTTATTTTAAATCTACACTCTTTAGAATCACATTGTTTACAATTGAAACTTGGTGTGTATCTTTTATATACAAGACCATAAAGTAATATTTTAATATTTTTTTTAGTTTGAGGTTTGAATATAAGGGAATCACAGAGCGTACGTTATCATTATAAATATTATACAGAACGTTAACAACTAACATTTATTGAACATAGGTTGACGACTTCGGCATTTATATTTTGTAAAATGAGTAGCTGTTAATCAACAGCACATTATAAGAATACAGACGATAGTTTAAGAAGTAGACCTATGGCTTTTGTTTGCAAGCTTTGACGTTTAACATTGTAAATTATAATAATATGTACATTATCAAAAAGGAAAGTAAGTGTCAGGTTTTACCTGAGAATTGACGTGAGATAAGCACCCTGGGCCTCGCAATAATGTTTTGAATCTGTCCACGTGTGGGCGTTATTATCGTTGAACTGGTAACAATAACCCTTGTGTAGCCTCCAACCTGGAGCACATGTGCCTAAAACAATAACAGTTAAACTAATATTTATACAATCGGGAAAATGTATGAAGATACCATTTTAGGTGTTACTAAATCACAAAAACATGAAGATTTACAGGGCATACTGGCTTGACACAGTAGAGTCTGGTTTTCTTGTTTTCAGTGTTTAGCCTTTAACATAATGTATATATATATATATATATATATATATATATTATATATACATATATATATATAGGTAGGGCAATATATATATTTATATATATAGTAATACATGTATATCATGAATGTTAGTTTGATTGTTAATATTAATTAAAGTAATTTCTTTCTTATTCATACCTTCTTCTTTTCTACAAATGGATTTTGCAAGATTTGTACAAGGAGCTGTGTTCCATTCTCCAGTTTTGGCAGTGTTTAGAATTTCTACACAATTACCTCCTTGTGTGTAAAACCTGTATTCATGAAGAATCACACTCATCATTTCATTCAGATATAGTATAAATATGCCTGTTTGTCTCGGATAGCAATGCGTAGATTACTATCTAAGATTGCATTGGAATTGTCTTGCAATACAGTATTATAATTTTTTACAGAAGAGAATCGCATTAAGCTGCTTACTGTTAATCCATGTCAAAATTTTATTACAGAGAAGCATGTGACATGCCTAATATAGTTATGATGACTATATAATGACCATACAACTTTTTTTTTCTATTTGTCAAGGTAAGTGTGATAATGTGGACAGAATAAACTGTGAAGTATCCAAGTATCCAGAGAGGACAAGTTAATTCCCCACTAACATTTAAAGTGTTTCATAGTGTTCATCCAGTCTGACTCCTACCTGTTGTCTGGTTGGTTGGTTGCCCAGTGATTGTAGTGAGCAGATAAAGAATATGGATCGCCATTGCTCCACTCGTACATTCCGGCAGATCCAGAATTCTATTGAGAGTAGCGATAATGATAATACAATTTTGGTCATAATTCAATATAAAAGCACATCAAAACGAATCATAAGTATATGATAATATCTTGTGTGATTCTATAAGAAAAAACATCGGGTCCTCTGATATAAATTCTACTTCTAACTTCTTTAAGCAGACCACGTAGTTTCTTTTCTATGTTGTAATAATAAAGATTTAACGCAACAAATATCAAAGCATAATGGCTGGTACAAATTTTTTTATGGAGTTTACATCAAACTTTTTATAAATAAAAACGAAACTGTAAAAAGAAAGGGTGGTTGGCAAAACGATTCATGAATGTGAGCAGTGTTTAGAATTTCTACACAATTACCTCCTTGTGTGTAAAACCTGTATTCATGAAGAATCACACTCATCATTTCATTCAGATATAGTATAAATATGCCTGTTTGTCTCGGATAGCAATGCGTAGATTACTATCTAAGATTGCATTGGAATTGTCTTGCAATACAGTATTATAATTTTTTACAGAAGAGAATCGCATTAAGCTGCTTACTGTTAATCCATGTCAAAATTTTATTACAGAGAAGCATGTGACATGCCTAATATAGTTATGATGACTATATAATGACCATACAACATTTTTTTTCTATTTATCAAGGTAATCGTGATAATGTGGACAGAATAAAATGTGAAGTATCCAAGTATCCAGAGAGGACAAGTTAATTCCCCACTAACATTTAAAGTGTTTCATAGTGTGCATCCAGTCTGACTCCTACCTGTTGTCTGGTTGGTTGGTTGCCCAGTGATTGTAGTGAGCAGATAAAGAATATGGATCGCCATTGCTCCACTCGTACTTTCCGGCAGATCCAGAATTCTATTGAGAGTAGCGATAATGATAATACAATTTTGGTCATAATTCAATATAAAAACACATCAAAACGAATCATAAGTATATGATAATATCTTGTGTGATTCTATAAGAAAAAACATCGGGTCCTCTGATATAAATTCTACTTCTAACTTCTTTAAGCAGACCACGTAGTTTCTTTTCTATGTTGTAATAATAAAGATTTAACGCAACAAATATCAAAGCATAATGGCTGGTACAAATTTTTTTATGGAGTTTACATCAACTTTTTATAAATAAAAACGAAACTGTAAAAAGAAAGGGTGGTTGGCAAAACGATTCATGAATGTGAAAAATAGAACTATTCGGAATGAAATGTCTAAGAAGTCAAAACTATCAATAGCAAAAAAAAAAAATGAAATTATGTGTTATTATGCTGTACACCGAATAGGATAAGAGGTAAGATTTATTCAAAACACATCAGATGTATAAATGCATCAACATCAATAACGTAAATATTCCAATAACAATATTTTTTCAAAGCTCTGCGCGACATTTATAATTATAAATATTCTATTTTCCAGACTGGGGGGTTCTTATGGTAGGTGCTGCTGGGTGCCGCTCTCTCGAATAGCCCCATGGCGTTTATTAGAGATATTCCATTTTTGAATTAACTTTACGGCGCTTAATCAAGGGATATTCTTACTTGGACGCTTTGTATCTTTGGGATATCATGCTATTCAAGAGCGGCACACGGCACCTAGCGAAAGAAACCCCGATTCTATAAAATAAAATATCTCTATCATCATGGATAAATAAAAATATTCCGATGGCGTTGTGCGCCAGGAGAAATAATACAAAATCATATTTGCCCTACCTAAAGTTGGGAATCGGATTCATGGCTAGCCTCCAAGCGCAAGCTCGGTTGTCTAGTAGTTAAGGTAGGCTAGTTATCTTTAAGTTGTGGGTTTGGTAGGGCAAAACACCATTTCGTATTTTTTTTAAATACTAAAGTTGCCACAAGTCTAAAGTACTCAGTAGACATATTTTAGCATAAGATAATATTATACAGACTTTAGCATCGCAATTATTTGTAGTAACCGCCACTCTCGAGTAATATCCGCACTGAAGCCACGAAAAGCGAACTCCTCGGCGCTTCTTTGAGCATGGGAGAGATAACTTTAAAAACCAAGTATACGGTACCTTATCCGACAAACCGATCCAAGCCGTCGCTTGGTGAATGGAAACCATATAGGTGACGATATTCTGCTCATCCTGACTCTTGATACTCACTAACTCAGCATCAACGGATGTACAGTAGTTTACAGCATCATCCCAAGATGCGTCCCGGTTCATAAACTTATAACATTTACCGTTGCCATCATACCAGCCATCACTCTCATCACAATTGATTGGAATATCTGGTAGATATAGAATAAGTTTTTGAAAATGATTAGTTTAGTTAATATTATATTAAAAATATAGGACTATTGTTTTGCAAATTAGAACAAAAACACCAAATTAATTTATCTTTCCCTCAAATCCAGACAGTGTTTATTTATTTTTTTTTCTGATTAAATTTATGTTTATTAAACCTTTTTTAGTTTTAGTATTTTGCACCCAGATTTGTGACAAATTTATGTATTCAATGGTCACTTCTGTCTCAGTAAATATAAGGAGGCCACGAATAATCACTTGTACAAACATAAAAAGCCAATATCATAATTTTAAAAACAAATTATAATGATCAAAAAGCAAATTATGCAACATTTATTGATGTGACAAAAGCATATGCTGCATGAATAAGGCATATTCACACTGAATTCGAATATTCCGTTCGGAAAGCCTACCGATCTTATTTGAAACTCGGATCACTGTATAAGAATATGGACGTGTATCGGAAATGCGATCCGAATTTCATTTCGGATCCAATGTGAATGCAGCTTTAGTGCACCTTTTAGAAAAAACATGGCGTAGAAATTTTGCGTAACGTACAATGAATGAAAACACTTAGTGCTATTTTAAATAAGCCTATGAAAAATGACAATCTGATAATAAAATGATTAAAAAATATTTTTTTAATATAGATGTGCGCTATCTTATATATATATATATATATATATATATATATATATATAGTTTATATCTTAGAGAATAGATTTAGTTGTGGTAAACATTGTGCTTCACGCGGAAAGTGGCAATTATTTACCGTTAGGCCTTTCACAAATTGTCTTTTTCTTATATGTACAAATTTGATCGTTCCACATTCCGCCAGTTTGCAACAGCGCACAGTCTTCGTTACCATTTAAAGAATCGGGTCTTCCAGGCAACCAGAATCTAATTTAAATAAACATTGCACTACAGAATTTTGTGTTTTTCTGTTATGCCTACCATCAGGTCGTATGTATAATTATTTTTAATTGAAAACTTATACAACGTATTTCATTATCCACAGTAAACCGTCTTCTATATTAAGCCCTGTCCAGACTATCCATTGTTTTACGAAAACATGTGGCATGCCCAAATATGGTCATGATCATAACATGACCAAATATAGGCACATTATGACTTTATATGGACATAAACAAGTTTTTTTGTCAAAGAAAATTTGACGATCTGGACAGAGCTTTATATGAATATTTTTTGACTCGATTTTTTGATTAATAATTTACTAATATGAAATATTAGAATCAATAGAAAATGTCTAGCTCGTGTATTTAGCAACACATAATAAAAACAAATATGCATGTACATCACAAATAGTTAAATTATTACTTAAAACATTTAAAATGAGCATATAGTGTAATACGAACATACGAATTTCTCAAGAAATTGAACAGCAATAATAATTCTGCCAAAAATAAATCTACAAACGATGAAGAAAACACAGTCTGAATAATGAAGCGACTATGATTTTGTTCACAATATATAAAACAAATGTGTGAATGGTGGGAGGGTAAGAATGCCAAAGAATCATCCTTTACGGCTGCCTTACCCGCAGACCTCTCACAGATATATCGCCGAGTGTAAGTACAGAATAGATCATTCCATTTGCCGTTTGTACTCATCTCTGTGCAGTCTTCACCGCTACCGTAATTATTCGGCTCACCATTATTCCATTGTCTGATTTTTGCGGTAAAGAGTGGCTCAGAATGTAAATTTTACGAATAATGTTGAGGTCAGTAATATATTATTATTATTATTATTATTATTATTATTATTATTATTATTGTTATTATTATTATTATTATTATTACTACTTCTACTATTATTATTACTATTATTATTATTATTATGTATCATCATAATGTGAACCCCTTAACCAGCTAGATCACTTGGCTTCTTTGGGGATAAAAATCGAATTAAAGCTAATCTTCATACACTTGCACATGCGTAGAACAACTCTAATATTCGATGTACTGTATTACAAATAACAGAGACTGAAATCAATATGATATTCTCTTAACAGACGCCACAGAAAAGTGGTCTTTAATTGAAGGGAGAGCTTTACTGTTATTGTCACGAAAATCTGATATTTTTTAATATAATCATGTTTTGTTTACTGTTGTGATGCTGAATAAAATAAACCAATCTTGGAAAAAAAATATTACTTTGTATTAGTAATTCATTTTTTTTTACTTTAAATATACACAAATTGAATAAGCTACAGAAGTTGTGGCTTTTTTATAGGAAATATTTCTTGGTTTAACTTTAATTTAGAATGAGAAACATTTTCTCGAAAATTTCATAATTTTGCTAGTAAAATGCATGTGAATAATTAAAAACTGTTTGTTTATATTCTTTGAAATTTGTAATTTTAAAGTTTTATTTTTTAGGATTATTAATGTAATATTTTTACTTTAAATATACACAAATTGAATAAGCTACAGAAGTTGCGGCTTTTTTATAGGAAATATTTCTTGGTTTAACTTTAATTTAGAATGAGAAACATTTCTCCAAATTATTCATAATTTTGCTAGTAAAATGCTTGTGAATAATTAAAAACTGTTTGTTTATATATTCTTTGAAATTTGTAATTTTAAAGTTTTATTTTTTAGGATTATTAATGTAATAATCTGGTATTTGGTATCATGCCTTTTCCGTAGGATACAAAGTGTCCTTGATATTTCTTATCGCTGTATATTCTTAATTTTATAATACAAAGGCTTAACTCGTTTGATTGCAAAATGTGTGTAGGCTTACTTTTTGTTTTGGTATGATGCAGACGTAGAATCTACTTAGATCAAGTACTTATTTTTTTTCAATCGTGCTTAGACATGGGTGTTTATTAGTTAAAGATTTAGCCAAACACCTAATCATAAATACGGAATTTAAATTATCACATATTCATAACTCATTTCAAGTAAATAATATGTTCGTATAGTGAAATAATTATTCCTTATTTGTTTTGTACTCACGCTGTGTTAGGATCTAACGGTGTACTGTCGATCCATACAAAGTCTCCTTCATTACTGGTATCATGCAATCCAATCCAATGAGATGAGCCTGTGTTCTTTATCAGACCTGTTAGAAATGTCTTTAAAAACAAATCCAAATTAAGTATTTAAAAAACAACAAAAAAACAAAAAACAAAAAGAAAAAACCAATAAACGTATATTATTTCAGGTTATTGCGCATGCTAAATATAAAATAACATTAAATTTAATATACATTTTAAAGTTGAATGCGCTCTCTGGGACCGTGATTGAACTTCATTAATCTTTCTTATTTACATATTTGATGTGATTTTTCAATCGTCTCAATATAGCAAACTTTGCTCACTAATTGACCTTTATTAATACACTTTTGAGTTATGATGATAAATTAGGCAACCATATGTAAAAACTCAGTTTTATTATTATTATTATTATTATTATTATTATTATTATTATTATTATTAGTAGTAGTAGTAGTAGTAGGCCTAGTAGTAGTAGTAGTAGTAGTAGTAGTAGTAGTAGTAGTAGTAGTAGTAGTAGTAGTAGTACTCTAGTTATTAGTAGGCCTACTTATAGTATTATTTTTATAATGATTTTTAGGACCTTTTGTGGGATTTCCCGTTTACCTACATTGACATCGGCTGTTTTAACAACAGCCAAATCTCCTTGATCTGATTCACATGCTAACCTTGCTTCGTACCAATTCTTTAAATCTGTTCTTATAAGGTAGCAAGAATCGCCATACCTTTGCCATCCATTTGGGCACCTTTGACTGTTCACTGCAAATAAATTCCATTTCGGTAAGTTAAAAAACAAACAAAAGTAAACGTACATTAAACTGCTAATTACTGTATACCTATACAACGTTTGTGCTCAAATACTGTTTAACTAGTCTCAAAAGTGCAAATTCTGTTTGAGTTACATTTTCAAGCCCGGATTCCGTTCCGGAGTCCTTAGAAAAAATCGTGAAACATGGTTTCAGTGGTAAAAGAATAGGACCGTTCACATCAAATTTGTACGATTTCCAATCCGGACTCCTGATCTGGACCGATGGATCTGAAAGCCATTTGTATCCTGAAATCGTACGTTTTTTTTTCTTGGACCAATCAGCAACAAGCTTGGTTGGTTCAAACCAATCGAACGCTACGTACTTAACCCGCACAACACTGTTCCGTGCGCGATATGAACACAGCGTTTAAAAAACGCAGCAACTCACGTTTTTTTGTTCGGGCTCCGGACCGGATCCGGGCTTGATGTGAACGTAGCTTTAGCGAGCAATAAATAACACTTAAATGTTTTAAATGTATGGTTTTCAGATTGATCACCGACAATATACTATTAGGTATACTATTTATTTTTTTTTTTAAAGTAAGTGTATTCATAAGTGGAAAACAGCCTAAATTTAAGTAGGCATACAGCAACAATATAAGTCCCAGCTATACAAGCATGAAATTTGAGTGCAAATTGGATGACTGGCGAAAATTCAGTTAATCTAAAAACATTTCTAAACACAAAATCCGTAATCTGTTTAGTCTCTGAAAGTGGTTCAGTAAAGTAATCTCGTATATCCAAACGAGGGATGATTTAGGTATATGAATTTTTCTTAATGTTTGTTGGTTTTTTTTAAACATATATTTATTTTTGTTTCAAAAAATGAAAAAGTACAGTACAACCAGAAAAATGTATCGTGAACTAATATCTTACGTTTTTAGATATTTTGATATGCCACTGTCTGCTAATGTCAAATTCAATGTTAGATAGCAGGAGTAATATCAATATTTTCATTGTATTTGTGTTTATTACTGTAGGGTTTCAACTCATTTTGCCTATCCATTTGCAAAGTTATGGATTTAAATTTCTTTTTTTTTTAAGGAAATATATCTTCAAAGAAAGGCATATTTTTGGCGGCTCATGAAAAGTTTTGTACTGATATGACCTTAATATCATAATTAACTTAAGTTGATAACATTCTAGTACCAGTAAGCTATCTCACCAATGACCTGATATCGAAGGATACCCTGGTACTACCAGTTCCATTTCTAGTCAGATTTGTTTAAAGTTCACAACGTTTAGATAGCAGTCATATTTGGACTGGGCAACATAACAAACCTTTATTTTTTGCAACCTGTTTAAAAGGGGTGGCGCAAGGATTTGCCCGACGGGGATGGGACGATGTCCCCGAAGAGAGAAAATAAAGGGCATCTCTCAAAAAATCTTTAAAAAGTATTCTAGGTCAAAAAATATGACAAATTCGGGATTTTAAATGCTTATTTAATCGATTTTAGAATTTACAGGGTAGATAATAAATATACATTTTTTCTCCCCTACGAATTGTGTTATTTTCCTCGATCGGGGTGGTGGGGGAGGGGTTAGGGAGCAGGTATTTTCAACGAGCTTTCGTCGACATTGGAGGGGGCGGTTGGTGGCTGGCTCCAATTGTAGTTCCTTTAACGTTTAGTGTATATATTGATTTACAATATTAATAAAGATATTACAATTTTTGTTTTGCTTACTTTGTTAATTTAGCTATAAATATTCAAACAAAATTGTTATTACAATCGAAATAGAAGTATTAAGCTAAACTGTTTTTATATTGTTTAAACCTTTAAAGGTCTTTAAGCTAGCAGCAACCAGGGGCGGGGGCAATGGCTCAGATCCTCCGTCGGAAAAATCGGGGACGTCGGATCCCCCGCCGTCGGAAAAATCCTGGCGCGACCCCTGGTAGCAACTTGTGTGTATCGGTGGAGACTATAATATATCTATAAATTTTACAATAGAAAAGTATAATGCAAACTTCAAAATTTTAAAAGCACCGTTCTGCAATAATTTGAGTGCCAATATAATAATTTGTGAATTTGAATTAAACAACTTGAGAAAGGATACCATATATTGACTGCCTAATGTTGTTCATTTAATGTTTACAGTGAAAACATTTATGTGTGGTCACGTTGATCTCTTCAATTCAATGGCAACATTTGCTGCTGTCCGTTTCGATTGAAATATAAATGAAATATTCATTGGCCAAATGTCTCATCAATTTGTATCGATATAAAAGTGTAGATCTAACTATAACATTTGTTTTGTTTTTCATATAGCTTACTGTATTTTCACTTTTAAATTTGATATAAGTTTAGCTTTAGTTGTCTGTTGATATCTGAACTCGCAAACTGTTATGTTATGATGCATTACTGTATGTTATAAGGCAATAATGTTCGGTTACTATAGTGTACTAATTCATCTCAGCTTTAGGGTTAAAATGCTAACATATTAACCAACATGGCTCAGCTGCAATGGGCTAGAAATACAGTTCGGTTCAGATTAGAATGCTCAGCAGACGTTATTTGGGGACATCAAACTCATACAGTTATGTAGCAGATATCGACGGTTCGTTATCTGGTTCTCGGTGTGATTTGCAGTGGCCACGGACAGGTACCTCCCCTTCCTACTGTTTGTATTTCGATAATGCTCTTCAATTCTTATCGTTTTCATATCATTTGTTTTGATACTAATTATACAGAAAGCCTCTACAAGGGCAAAATTACATCACAAGGCTAATACAGGTTGTTATAAAATAAAGTAGCAGAGCACAATGTTTAAAACTGGGGGTAACCACTGAGAATTTGATGAATTATTTAGATTTTATATCTCAGGTTATAGGCCTAATCTGCAATTTGCTTTCAATCAGGTTATTCTGCATTGTTTTCATAGCTTGGCTCATGTGGTAGGGTAGGGCATTGTCTCTCGGTGTACTGGTCATTAACCACCAGGTTGGCGCTGCTTTGGCACATTAGGACTGATTGATAAAATGTTTACTTTTATTTACATAACTTCAAGACACTCCCCCAACAAGGAACAGCGATATAGCATCTATCTATCTGTGTTGCGCTATGAGTTAAAGATGTACCGGTATTGTCCCTTGCAACATACCAACAAAATCATAAAGTCATTTTTGAAATTAAATTTCATATTTTAAAGTAACATAAAAATTATCAAATTGAACATAGAAATTAGTGTATTTAAAAAATGGTTACACATCATTTTACAACGAAAAATGATAGAAATACTTCTATTCACTGGAAGTGTTTTATTACCTTTATTATAATTATCAGATTAAAAAATTACACATTTTCTTAATTAAATCATTTTTATGCTCAAGTTAATAATTTGTATGTTACTGCAACATGAGCAAATTAGTTTCAAACTTAATTCTTTATGATTTTTACTGTCATTTTAAAGGGAAAATACATTTCCAAAGAATAACATAAAATCAGGCATTTAAAAAAAATCAAATGAGAACAAACGTTTATACAGTAATTAGAATGTCATTAAACATTATTTAATTACTTACACAGACGTATTAAACTGACAGATTACAATGTCAATAGTATTTCTGATTTAGATTTTTTAAATCACGTCATTATTTGGAGTGATGTAAATTTCAACGTCAGCAATTATAATTAATATCAAAGATAACATGCACATCATAAAAACAATAAAAATGAAAGTAAAAATTATTATCATTCTTTTTTAATTTTTCAATCTCTTAAATGTATTACAAATAGGCGTAAATACAAAATGTTATTATTTTTATGGCTAATTTTTTCCAAAGTTTACCAATTTTCTCCGTATTTTTTAAGCATTTTCATTTAAATGGATATTATAAAAAATGTAATAATTGTCATAATAATGCTACATAGGCGTGATAACTTCTATCAACTCTATGTCTATAGTGTATTTAAAACCAATTGCGGTTAAAAGACAGCCTTCTGCAACATCCCTACTTTTTACAATTTATGGTGCTCTTACCTGTGTACATTTAAAATTTTGATTAATATTATATATCTTTTAATTATCTGTAAATGTGTGGAAATACAAGTGAATTGAAATGAATTGAATTGAATATAATTATGTACTAAAACAAGCATTGCATTGTATGTCTTCAGGGTGATATAGGTGACCAAAGTTTGTATTCTAATTCTTTGTAAAGTCTTCATAATACTATGAAGCTAAACATACTTAAAATAACTAAAAAGTATTATATTACTTAAATTAACAAATTAAAGGATGTGACTAAACAGTTTAACGTTTAGAAATATAGTTAAAATAATGGGGAGGAGTTGTAGATAAAACAGTATCCAAAACGATTAGAATATAAATGTTCTAAGTTAATTCACAATTAATATTGTTTTATTTATTTTTTAAATAAACAAAAACCTGCATAAGTAAGCTCACCTGAGTGTGCAATAGCAATGATAACTGCTATATATCGAAGCATTTTCTATAGGTACATTAAACTTTGGTAGAACGGAAAGCGGACTAATAAATTCACGATGCCGAAAGCAGGCTAACAACTCGGCCCTTTCCAGGTAAGAATTATTACTGGAAGCTGCCGATGGTTTTTAGTGAGGTGCAAATGCAGTTAGTGTCTGAAGATAACTGGCTTAATGTACACTTTAGTACTTGTATAACAGGGGACGTTATCTAATGTTTACCAAGGTGGCAACTAAATAGCGCCCTCCCTTATTATTACACCATACTTTCCTGTATGCTTTATTTAAACTTCTATGTCTTACATGTTAGCATGCAAAACATGTTGGTGTTAACCAACTTTATTCATATCTACCGCTCTGTTGCTGATTGAAAATAAACCAGAAGCCTGTTATAAAGACAGATCCAAATATCCATGGCTGGGATCAGTGACGCTTTCATCCAAATTTAGGAAAGTCAAGTTAAGATGAGAATAGTTTTCGTCATCAAACGCAGGTGTGGGGATCGCACGCGTGGGGATCAGCTTATTGTTGTCGTCAGTTACGTCATCCTGAACGCTACCGGTAATACAGGCTTTTCGATTTAATGTATCGTGTGAATCTTCGGTGGAATCATTCCCAACAAGCTTGAAATTACCATAGAAACCATCATTTTGAAGTGAAAGAATGTTTTGTTTGTTGACGCCCTCGTCATTGTCTCCCTTCGGTGTGCCGTCCTCCTTTGACACTTCTGTGTTGCCCGTCTCGTTTTCCCCAGGGTGGGTAGCGTTTGAATACTCAGACTCAGCCTTACTCTGAGGTGCAGGTGGATCTGTATTCTTTGCGGTACTCGTATTATGTACGAGGAACATATAATTAGATTGTGAATCATTCTGCTTTAGTATGAAGTCACTCTTCTCCGGTTCTTTTGGCAATGTGTAGTACTCAGAAGAATCTTTTGATTCCACTGCGCTAACAGTTGGTGTGCTTTGTTCTTTACTGCCACACGGGTAACTATGTTCATACCTACAGTATTTGTTTCTGTCGTTGTGTTGTTTAATATAATGTAGTCTGAGTCTGACTCACTATCTATCTCTTTGTGCACGTGACTGTTCTCAGATATTGCCATATTGTGGATTTTATCTGTAAGTAAAAAATTTATTTAATTTTTATCTAAAAGACTTAACAATTATATTCGAATTTGTTTGCAAGTTGATATCAGTATTATAATTTTAATAGCACTATTATTCATCATCATTATCATATTATTTATATTTACATTTATAATTATTATTTTACTATTTTGTATTGTTACTATAGAAAATGTTAATGTTTTTAATAGTATAACATAATAATATATCAAGAGTTTATAGACCTAGAATTTGTTCAGATAAGCTATAGTGCACCTACCTGTGGTTCTATTGACTCCGACGTCTACACAGGACACTGGTTGAGATTTTGACCTAAAAAGAATACCGGTATAAATTAAAAAATATATGAACCTAAATAGGCCTTTCACGAGGTTGCGAGTACTGGGGTGGGTCCCGCTAATTGCAGATCTGAATCTGCCCCAGGAGTATCTAAGTAATCAGTCTGTGTATACAAGATTAAAATTCTGAAGCATACACACCAGTGAACACACTAAATTTTTGAAAAGACGCCAACAAAAAGTTCATATCTGCTTCTGTTTAGAACAACTTTTTGGGTAGTTTTTTTTTTTCAACTTCCTGATTTCTTGTCTCGATACCGGAGTGTATCTGATGCTAATAGAGACCTGACTTATGGAGACATGCTAAAAACACAAGAAATACATAAAAACATATATTTTATTGTATAAAAACAATTTTGAAGATAATAATGGGATTTATTACGGAGCCCCTAAAGGGACATGGTTAAGCAAATATTAAACTATTTCAAGGGAACGAAATAATATTTCTTCCGAGGGAAAAAATAATATTTCGTTCGAACGAAATATTATTTCGTTCCCTCGAAGTCATTTCGGGGAAACGAAATCATTTCGTTAATATTAATATTAATAATATTCATAATATTCATTAATATATACTTTTGTTTAATCCCATGTGGAGTTCTTCCATCTTAAAGCCAGATGATAGGTGGAGGGTGCCCTTTTCTCCCTGTGAAATCTCAAAAATCAGTTTACAATCATTGATTGTATTGAATGCATTTCTATTGTCTCCATAAGCATTGTCATGTGAAGCATCTTAGGACGCCCTCTGTACATAAAATATAGCCTACTGGAACCATTATATTTCACTTTATTCAAACTCAATTTCCTCATTTGTAACAGTTCGTGGCCAATGGAAAATTGCAAGTTACAATTACACGAGGGTATGGCAATAAAACATATAAAAAGTTACATTATAACGGAAGATAATTATTGTCATTATAAAAATTATTATAAGAATTATATTGACATTAACAATGGAATTTAATACGATAAAAATTTACATTAAAATGGAAGATTATTATTATCATTTATAAATATCAAAATATTCATTAAAAAAAGGGGGTCGATTCAGTTTAATCAAGTTTAATCTTAGAGGAGGGCATCTCATTCATTTTCCAAATTCTTATTCATAAGGTCAATAAAGTAAGGGATGGGACTGTCAGAAAAAAACCGTTTTGTATGAGAAGCCAGGCGTGAAATTGTATTACAGTTTCGTAGGTTTCGGCCGCCGCTATTTAATTAAAATCTGGTAGGTTATAATAGATCAGCGGAATGTTTAGTATTGGAAAGACCTTTAGCAAAATTGAGGCAATGAGATTGGATTGGATAGGATTGGATTTATTCGGTGTAAACACCAAGGATAGCCCACGAAAGAGAAGAGAGATTCATTGTACGTTCAACTTACAGAATATTTCTCTTCTCCTTCCACTGTACTGTACTAACGTACAATACACAATACAATGCAATATATTTCTTCAAGATCGGTGCACGCGACTTTTGGTCTTTACTATTATTACACCATCATAATCACAATCATCATCATCATAAGATAAGATAAGATAAGATACAAGTCAGAAATTCAATTCTCGCATTAAAATTCAGTAAAACAATTAAAAGAATGATCAAATATAATGAACTATAAAAATTACAATGTAAAAAAGATATCAACCAACGGCCATTAAAACATTATAAGTCACCGAAGCATTATCAATATTTTCATCGCCAAAGAAAGTAGCACTTTTGATTCTAAAAAGGTAGGAGAATAACCATAACTCGAAGCGCTGAATTGCGCATGGGTGTGGTCCATGAATTTCTAGCCATCGTAAAGAGGCGCTTACAGTAATAGTATAGCTACAGTACATGTTCATTGTCACATGATTCCCATCAAACGACAGAGGCTGTAATAAAACCATGGCGTCGCGAGGTAATCCTCTACTCTTTCGAAAGGTGGAAGTGTTATTTAAAATGCACATGAGCCAGGCGTGCACACTGGAATTCCATTTTAAGCCCTTATCCGAGAAGACTTGGACCTACAAACCGAACCCTTGGAGAGGAGGGGTCGTGACAAAGTGCGAACCAGCGAGTCATGCGGCCGCGAGCCAATGCGCGAGCCATGAGAGCCATACCTTTTACCTTTTTTTTTTATCTTCTTACCTTTTTCAGGTTATCCAGTTTTGCAAACACGTAGGACTATCCTATATTCTTTGGTCTAGTAGATGCAAATGAATAACACTGGGGAGCTTTTTGCCTGTGTAGTCC